AGACTTGGAACCGACACGTCTCAAAGTTGACCAAGGCCTCGTGACTTGGGTTATCGTGCTTTAACGTTGATTCCAAGCCAAGCAAACCTCGACCTTGTCCCGAGGCATGAATGCACTCAAACATGCAATATGAGCTAACCATATAAAAGAACATTATAACATGTTCATGGCTTTCACAGATGAGCACACAACTAAACTCGACGACGTAGCTTATCGCCCTTGCCAAGAGTTAGGAATTCTACTTACTTTTGATAAACTAGAGATAGTTTTGCCAAGAAAAGGCCGTTTGGTGATGAAGTGGGCATGCGTGGCCAAAAGAGAGGAGAGCAAGCGTGCAAGGGGGTGTAGGGTGAGAGAGTGAGCCAAAGGGATGGAAATGAAGTAGGGGGTGCTTATATTTATAGGCTCCATCCTCATCATTGCTTGTCCAAATGGCCCAATAGGCTTTCTTGAAGTGGCACGCTTACAAGGAAGATGTGGCAAGCCTAGTGGATGAGCGGCACGCCTATTGGAATGGTGTGGCGCCTTAAACTTTTAGAGGAATGAATGATTGAAGGCTAATGTGTGCCTTTCCAATTGGTACACCTAACCCATTGAGTCACTTGCTTCTTCTCCAAAGCAAATCTTTGGCCATCATTTCCTAATCTTCATAAGGCCATCTAAGAGGATGATTCATCCCTTGCATTTAATGTTCTAGAGTCTTCTATTATGTCATTTTCCAGAGAATATAGCAAACATAGGAATTAGGTGATTGGAGGCGCTAACTTAGTCGGGTAAGAGTTTCTCATGTTCATTCATGATCGACCCTGCCAACCGAACCAAGGTTCGTAGCCGAATCACCATCGGGTAAGGTTGGTCATGGCCGAACTTGCCTGGCGTGGCTATATCGGTGGCCTATATCATGGGCTCGTGGTCGGCACTGGCCAGGCGCAGGGCTAGTGCATGCCTTGGCTCGTGGCATTGCGGCAGAGTCTAGGTCCTAACACATGGCCAGCTCATGACCTAGCACAAGACCAGGCTTATGCCTTGGCACATGACTTAATGGCAGGATCGCCAAGCCAATCCGTGAATGATCCAGGGTCGGTCCGTGACCCATCCCAAGTGGCCCATGGTCAATTCATGACCGGTTCATAGCTGAGCATAATTGGTCTGTGGCTGACTCTTAGTTGTCACATAGTTGTGTAGGATCGATTGTTCCGTGATCGATACACGGTCGCACGGATTGATCCATGGTCGTCTATATCGGTACAAGACCATGCAAAACCACCCGCGATTGGAACAGGACCATGCGGGATCGATCCATGATTGTCCATCGATCCACGGTAATACGTGACTGTCCCACGACCAACCCTTATGGTCAAGTAGCCGATCCATGACTAGATAGCTCGGGTCACTAGCGTGATCAGTGGATTGGTTCACTGCCAATCCCTCGATCATTCCAAGGCCAATACTTTGATCAGGCCATGGCTGATCCCTTGATCACCCTTCTGATCGGGTTGATCGATCCATGATCGTTCCTTGGATTGGTCCATGGCTGATTTTTGTCAATATCGGCACATTTGTTCCATAGCCATTTCTCATGGCCAGAATCGTGGATGTTATAACTACGGGAAACAACTTAGCCACGGCTTGCAAAATGCCCTACAAGAGATGATTTCAGTGTAACAATATATTATAGGTGTGATCATTACGGCATAGCACTAAAAAAAAGAACGAAATAACAAACTTAGCTTTTGCTTGTTAATAATTACGACCCAGTCTCATCCGTATGTGTCTATTATGTTGAGGCCATGCATCAAATTTGTCAAGAACCAAGTTCAGGCATCTCCACTCTTAACATTTACAATTGCCCATGCAATTGGGAACATCTGGTCATTTCCATCCGTTCTTACAGCACACAATATCTCCTCTTTACAAATTCCCTTTAAGAAGCAATTATCTAACTCCACAATTTTCCTACATCCATCAAGGAAGCGTTTCTTACATTGTGCAAAATAGATGTACATTTTATCAAATAATGCCTTAGTATGCATGTTAGACTTTTCAACTTTCAATGTAACAAAACTCCCAGAATTTGTCTCCCTTAGCTCCTCCGCATAATCCCATAACTTTACATATTCATTCCTATAGTTTCCCATACAAAATTTAAAGCCAAGCAGCTTCACTTTCTTACACTAATGTGTACTTATATTTAAGTCCAACTGCTATCAGATAAGCTCCTTGAAACCAATGGTTTTTATAGATGTCATTTCTCTAATTATACTAAGATAGTGCTATGATAACCAAGAACCTGTGACCCTCTTATTACTAAAGCTAATGTTACAAGTATGTTCTTTGTGATAGGTCTTCAAGTGGAATGATCCAGTTCTAATACCAAAAGATGCAGAAATCTTCCGAGGACAATTTTCATCGCCACATTTTGCTCTAACAAATTTCTTTCATTCTTGATAAATTTTATTTCTCTAAGCTCAATCACTAAATACTTTATGACAACATCTTTGAATTGCCTACCATCATCAAACATCATAAACGTAGTAAACAAAGGCACAGTATAATTAGGATACCTTGGATACCTGCTTCTCCTTTTTGTAACTTCAATATCTTTTCACCCTACATCAGATCTGAAACTCTTGTCTCTATCTGTTTCATGGTAGTCCGTTTGGTGAACACTTTCGGCAATATCAAGGTTAGATTATTGGGGGTTAGATGATTCTCATATAGATTCTTGTGATGATATGAATTCCACGAGTGATTCTCCTATAATCTAAGCCTTTGTGGCACTTCTGTGAAATTCCCTGACTTTCTTACTTCCTTTTACAAGGTCTTCATTATCCCTATCATCATCGTAATCACCAGTCAAGAATTGTGCATCGATTAGGTCCATGTCTTCGTTTTCTGAATCGATTTCGAACATAAATTTGTCATCCTCTAAGTTAGCATAATCGCCCACCCTCTAAGTCAGCATAATCGCCCTCATCCACTAAGTAATCATAATCTAAACCACCCTCGTGCTGAACGACTACCTCATTACCTAAACCAACACCCTCACTAGCACTCTCATCTTGACAAACACCCTCACCATTGCCCTCACTTTGACAAGCAGCCTCACTTACCGCATTGTCAAAAGATTCTCCATATACCTCAACCAATCAGGCCACAAATGATAGAAAACTAGATCGACGATAGTGCTATCATTACATATATATCTCAGCCCATATTCTAGAGATTTCTCAGGAAACTTAAAATAAAGTTTTTTAAAATTTACCGTTTACCCAATTCTCAATGTCTGTGATGAACCTTTCATAGCTCATCGAATTGATATTTACGTGTATTAAATTAGTCTTTCCCCCATTATATTCAAGCATTGGGTGACGGACAAATTTCTCACCATGGAAAAGGCAAACCATTGTAGACTTGTTGCTCATCTCAATTCTACAAAAAAAGACAATATATATTATAAGTACGTAATGGAGCGACAACATAATAGGTCCAATCACTTCAAGGCTTTTTGGCTATGAAGCAGAGGCAAACAGAGGACTGTGACTGCATCTTAGAAACTGAAGTTCTCAGTTCAATCGATTTTCTTGGTCAAATATTGTATCTACCAGGTATAAATATCCTTAATCTAATTTGACTAGTCGAGTCTAAGAAACATGATTGAAGCTCATGTGAAATTCGTCTCTGGATAAAGCTTATCAATGTTTCAAATATGTATTGATCTTGTAGTGATGGCCAAATAGTGATAATTTGCCTTATATGTGAGTCAAAGTTCATTAATCGAAGTATATGCTACCTATTTGATAAAATGACTAACTGAAATCAGAATGCATGTTTGTTGAAGGAAATAAGTTCAATAATCATTTCGTATCGGATATTCTGCTCTCTTCGTATCGAACTGATTGATAGGGTGATAAGTCAAGTCAAATCGGCGATGGCATCACGTGGTTCTTTTTACAATAAACGAAGTAACAACTAATGCATCCGGGTCATAACAGGAGCAATGCATGAAATTGGGGCTCTCCATTTCGGGAAAAAAAAATACAATAAAAATTCCCTCTTTTTGTTTGTTGCGTTGGTTGTGCATTCCACGTAGTCTTTCATAGTTGAATTGTAGAAAAAGAAGATTATAGTGTAAGAGCAAGTTTCGGAAGACGCGTCTGCTTATCGGAACCACAACAAAAGCATACCTTTTTGTTGTATTTGCTAAGTGCCGACCAAACAAGCAAATCAAGACCACACACATTGTCGTGTTCATTGCAGAATCTCAATGGCGAATCAGGTCGCAACTAGATTATGGGTTAATCGGGTCTTGGTGACCATCGGGCTAGCTTCGAGCGAATCTACGAGAAGGTGTTGGCCAACTTGAGCAAAATCCTTCGATTTGAGTTGAGACAAATCAAATTGGGCAGATAACAGCTAGGGTTCTTCGCTTCTTGCTTGGTTACTTCGCTTGGTTCGGTGGATTTGGGGCAAAAACGAAAGAGAGTGGAGGATGTTGTTTTAATGTTCTAGGGCCTTTTTTTTTTTATGGAAACAAAAACGACGCTGTTTTATTTTCTGACATCCACGTCAGCACCGGTTCGGCCACGTTGGACAGCCGGCGGAGACTGGAATCCACGTAAGCATTTTTCGAGGTAAATTAGCCAGAATGATTGAATTGGCACTGTGACAAAAAAGTTTATGACTAAACTGTCACAAAAAAAAAGGGTTTAAGACTAAATTGATACAAATATAATAAGTTTACGACTTTTCGAACACTTTTCCCAATTTTAACATAATATAGCCAAATAAAAAAGTTATGTTCACGGTATATGAATTCCTCATTCAATCAAGGAAATGCAGGACAAATTTGTAGGACCAAGCCAAACGTGATTTCCTCTCTCTTGATTGCGATTTTCGCAAGTTGTAGTGAAAACGCCTGCAAATTGACTCCTAAAATGTAGATGGTCGGTCGACTGACTATTCCGCCGACGTATTTGAACTCACCATGAAAATGCATGTCCAAATCAATCAAACCTCGATCATCAAATGAAAAGGATCATTACTTTCTTCAGTTAATTAATCAAAGGGAAATTCACTTTCTAAGTCGCGCGCATGTGAAGTCACGGGTCAAGATTAGCCCGAGAATTTCCGCATTGGCTACATCTTTTCTCAATTACTTACTACCGACAATTGTAAATCGAGAATAATGGACCATATCCAATTATTCCATGCTCTATCGTGGGTCCTCCTCGTCAACCCTTAGTTAACCTTTGCACACACTTTCCTGATTTCACCGGCGGTTCCGGTGAGCACGCTGATCCGACCCATGTTCACCATCGACACTCCAAAGTCCTTGAAGAAAGTGGATCCGCCGGTCCTGATCTGGAGGTCGATGTACGCCTTGGTTCGGCTATCGTCAAGAAGTGAGGCGTCCGAAGTGAAGAGGCCTCTTCTCTTCGGGATCAGATTGAAGTAACCGATGTCAAACGTCCTCACGCTTCCCGGGTCCATCTCGACGAGAGTGGTATTGTCATTCGGCTTGCACTTGAGCTTCAGCCTCGCTATGTAGTTGGGGTCAAGCTTGGGGTCGGCGTCGCCCTTTCCGGTGAAGTTGTAGAGGCGGTAGGCGAAGGCAGAGCAGTGTGAAGTTCCAAGGGTGTGCCCACCTGGGCAATAGGAAATCAGTATTAGCACGATCTAAGCTTACGAATTACGTTTTCTCGATGTATTGCCGACTGTGTCTATGAATCTTTCGCTTGAAATACTGTTTTTTTATCGAGTAATTTATGTCGATTTCCACAAAATAATTGACAGAGCATATGAAGTAATGAATGGAGATCAGGTGTTAACCTGATAGGACGACAAGGTCCTTCACACTGAGGCCTCTCTGTGCAAATGCTGTTCTCAGAACTGTAATGTTGGCCTTAGAGTTTATTAAATTGTGAAGTGCCTCCTCCTCACTAGAAACCTTCCCATCTCTTCGTCCGGTTTCCACGTCATAGGAAAGTCCTCCAGTCTAAAGTGACCAAAAAGGAAAAAAAAAACCCAATTTCTATATTAATGTGTTCTTCTCACGAAGAAAAATTATCGAGTTTTGTCATGCGCACTTTGAAAATAGGACTAGTTTTCCAATGAGATAATATAGATTGTTTGTGAAAAGGGAGATTTCTACTGATGTCATATGCATTATAATGAACATTCGAATTGAAAAGAATAGATAAAGGAAGCGACATGCATATGCGCACCGCGACAACGACATCTCTAGCGACAATGGCCACGATGTCGGCGCATGAAACGGTTCCGGGGCATGCCTTCTCCAGCGCCGTCTTGACTCTGTCGATTACTTGGAAACCTCGAAGGCTGAGATTCGGCTTCGCATCCTTCTCGGCTTGATGGGTCGAAGAGTTCAACAGTATTGAACCTTCACAACCCTGTGGGAAAACCCCAGAAAGAAACGTTATTCAGCTGTGAGTTCATGCAGGAAACAGTTCGTGTCCTGTTTAATGGCTGTTTAGCAGATAATTCGATGAAAATAAAAACCATTCTTTTGAATCATTAGACAGGTGCTCATAAAACAGTACTCTTCCCAAGCACAAGCAGGAAGAGAAGTACGCGCACTCGTTCTCTCGCTTACCCTAACGAAACAGTCGTGAAAATGCAACCTCAAGAGAGGGCCGGAGAGGCTCGGAGCGACGGACATGACTTGTCCGATGACCTCCTTCACGATGGCCTCCGCATTAGGGCATGTCTTCCGGTAAAACCCTACTTTGAGACCCTTGCCATGAGCGACCTCAGGGACAAGAGACAAGAACATCAGCTGAAGCAACAAACAAGACAAGAAGAGCTTTGGACAAGCCATGGCTTTAGTGTTTTTTTTTGTGGATGTTTTCATCAACGGACCGCTTTGGCCTTCTTTATATACACCGTATGGGCTGCAATTACCACGACAGTTCAGCATGCTTTTATTATATGCAATATGGATGTTCGTATGAGCCAACATGGGAGCGAACTCCTCCATGATTTTGTACCGATCCATGTTCTTAATTGTTGAGACTTGATTTTGTTAGTCAGTAAGCCGTCAGTGTAAATGGGCCCAAAATAGCATTAACAACAAAAATGGACAGTTAGGTGAGATAATAAATTATTAAGAAAATACGTTTTGAATTTTTTTAAATATTTTTTATCTTTTTTATTTTCTTTATTTTTCCTATTCCTTCTTCCTAAGCTGGTCGCCGGACCTCGGCGATCGACCACAGGTGTGCACCGGCCTCGGGTGAGGTTCAACCTCGCCAGCCCTCGCCTGTGGCCAGTTGCGAGGTTTGGCGACTGGCGAAAGAAGAATGAAAAAGAAAATAAAAGAAAAGAAAACAATTATTAAAAAAATCACAAAATTTGTCACGTCAGCGCGAACGTGCCACATAGGATGGAAGGCATTTACAATAGCAATTTCCGACCAAATGAGATTTTCCTTATCAAAAGACGGAAAATAATTTTTTTAGATCATTTTCAGATCTCAGTCAAACATCAAATTCCTAAAAAATGACTTTCCAGCATTTCTAGAAAACATTTTCTAGAAATGTCATATTCTCTGCGAAATAAGCGGAGCCTTGGTATTGTCTTTCTGCTACTTTTTAATTCCTTCGCATTTCATAGTCTTCCAAGAATAAAACAGAAAACTAATATGATTGGACCGGCCAATTTTGTTTTTTTCACGTTTTTTCTTCCACGGGTCTCTCCAAGTAACAGTATTTAGGCTACTGTGAGAGTCACGGTATGTTGTGAGTGTCAAATTCTTAAAATAGTATACCCTACCACAATTTCCAATTATTTGTTATTTCTTTTTTTGTGGCCCAAAACAGACTGTCATTCTCACGGTAGATTAATGATAGTCACATAAGCAGTTCTTCTCTAATTTTTCATGTATTTAGACATGTAGAAAAAGGATAGGATTTTATTTTTCTTTCGGTCATGGAATTAAGAAGGTGGTCGCCATCATGGGAGAACTTTCTCATTGGAGAAAGATCAGAAGACAATAAATACACATATCTTTTTTTTTTTTTTTGATGACCCAGGGAACCCTCCACGGCCGACAGCCGGGAGGCAAATCCTGGGGGCGACACGTGCTAGCCACCACACACGTGCACCGGTTAAGTCACCCTGCGGCACCCGGGATTCGAACACTCAACCTTTTGCGAGAGGAAGAGTGCGCGCTCCAGCAGCGCCACCCAAGCGGGTGGTATCTTTATCAATAATATAGCCAAAAAAAAGAAATTTATCTTCATGGCTATATGAATTGCTCATCCAATAATGGAGATGCAGGACAAATTTTGCAGGACTGGGCCGCACTTGATTTTCTCTCTCTCGATTGCCATTTTCGCACGTCGCAATGGAAACGCCGGTAAATTGGCTCCCAAAAATAGCAGATGTCGACTGGACAGTTCCGCCTACGTACTCGACAACAATGTCCAAATCAATCAACCTTCGATCATCAAATGAAAAATCGATTGTTATAATTATTTTAATTTTTGTGGGTTTCATTCAACACATGAGCGGGCCAAACATAGATATATATACATTGACTTGTCAAAGGTCAAAAGAAATTCTCTTTATAGAAGTCGGGTGGATGTGAAGTCGCCGGTCAATATTAGCCGGATAATTTCTTCACATTTGCTCCGTCTTTTCTCAGTCACTTCTCAAGAATATGTCAATCATCCCACGAATCGCGTTATTTTATGGTAAAAATAATATGGTGCTCTAGCCATTTGGGTTCGTGCAGGCGACTTGCGGCCCGCAATCCGAACCGAGAGACGGGTTTTTGGAACTAGTTCGCCCTAGCGGGATTGCAACCCTTCATCCCGGCCATCAACGCGCGTGTCGTCCAAGACGTTAGGGGCATGATGACTTGACGGCAACCCACAATTTATGGTAAAAATAATATAGTGCCCTAGCCTTGCAGCCCGCAATCTGAACCGAGGGACGGGTTTTTGGAACTAGTTCGCCCTAGCGGGATTGCAACCCTTCATCCCGGCCATCAACGCGCGTGTCGTCCAAGACGTTAGGGGCATGATGACTCGATGGCAACCCACAATTTAAATTTCGCTATCAATCTGATCACCATCCACAATTTTTTTTCTTTTTCTTTTCATCGATGAACAGATATCTATGACTTCAATGTCTCATCTCTGTCGAAAAAATGACTCGAGGATTTGGCACGATACTTATCCAACATGATATCAAAATACTAACAAATTCGCTTAACATGAGATCTTGATACTTCGATAGGAATTATATCTTATAATAAAATCTTCCAAAAAAATTGAAAACTTTACTACATATTCCCCTCCCTGTTTTTTTTTCCTATAAGGAGAGTCCAATTCCAACACGAATCCAATAAAGCCCGGAGCAGCAGATGTGCATGCAACATCGATATTCCTTTCGTCTCTTTTGGCAAAAACAAAAGGAAGATTGCAAAACAAAAGAGCCAAAAAACAAAAAACAAAAAATATAAAAATCATTGCAAAGGAATAAAGGGGCCAAAACGATACAAAAACAGAAAAAAGCAAAAGGAAGAAATTAAATTAAAAAAAAAGAAAAAGAAAGAGATGACGATAATTGAAGGGGAACGGTTGACGGAAGGTGTCGCCGAAGAGACAAGCAATAAGTGGGATCGTCTCATCTTCCGTGTTCACCTAAAACAACGTCTAACCCCCTCAACCTCACCTCATGACCTTTTTATTTTTCTTTAATTTAATTAATATTCTTTGAAATCTTCCTCTCTCTTTTTTTTTTTAAAATCTTTTTTGACTTTAAGATCTTGTCTATACATGGCCCAGAAATCAAATTCCCACAAACAACAAATACCCAATGGACAACAAGCCGTGGTCCAAACTGAAATGCAATTGCCCCCAAAAAAAAAAAAAAAATTCGACCCAAATCTTATATCCCGTGACACGCTGAGGTGATATAGGTGAATCAATCGAGAGTTTTCCTTTGTTCAAGGGACGAGACCAATTGATCAAGAATATTGTGATAGCAAATCTTTCGCGTGCGATTCATGTGACAAACTTGATTGCAATTCCTGTGTCCACCTAATTTTGGCATTGGGGTGAGTTGTGTTGGCGTGGTGGCTATGGCGAAAACCCGAGTTTGAGCACTTGATGGACTCTCGACTCGTTAACTCAGCTGGGGGTGGATGTCCTTGAGGAGATCCACGACCTGTTGCATGGTGGGCCGCTTCCCGGGCGACTCCACCGTGCAAAGGTACCCGACGTGGAGGCACTCCACCATCTCGCTCCCTGAGCTTCCGTCGATCCTTAGGGTGCGCATGAATACCATTCTGTGCCCGGGAACTATTTCTGAACAGAAATGATTTTTTTTTATTCTGTGCCCGGAAACAATTTCTAAGTATTTGAAGGCGTTTGATAAACTGTCCAAAATTTCTATTCCTAGAGTAGAAAAGAACAGAAATGCGTTTGGTAACTACACAAAATTTCTGTTCCCAAATAATATTTTAATAATATTTTGAATTGTTTAATTTTTTTTCTTTCTACCATTTTCTTCTTTGGCCATGGCCGGTTTGCGGCGATCGCCACTGCCTAGGGCCGGCGAGGGCGTCACGGCCCTCGCCGGCCGCCGGCGGAGGCGAGGGTCGCCCTCGCCGGCGAGGGCGAGGGCGGACCCTCGCCACCGGGCTAGGCGCCTCGCCCGATTTGGGCAAGGGCGCCGCCTCGCCTCCACCGGCGGCCGGCGAGGGTCGTGACGCCCTCACCGGCCCTGGGCTGTGGCCGGTCGCCGGCGGCCGGCCCAGCCCAGGGAAGAACAACACAAAAATAAGAAAAGAAAAAAAAGAAAAAGAAAAAAAAGAAAAAGAAGAAAAAAAACTGATTCTCAAAATTGTGCCGAGAAACAAGAAGCAACTTTTTTTTACTTCTTGTTTCTCTTCCAAAACTATTTCTCGGCACAAATTTTTGAAAAAATGTGCTCGGGAACAAAAAGTTTACCAAACGCATTTCTGTTCCCAAACTATTTCTGGGAACAAAAGAACAGAAATTTTCACTGTTTGGCACGTTGCCAAACGGGCCCTTAGTCTCCTCTCGAGCGCCTCCTCGTTGCGCCCTTCCCTCACCAGCCTCCTCGCCCACACCAAGCTCTCCTCGCTCCCTTCTCCCCCGTCAACAGCTCCACCAAGATCATCCTGAAGAAATAAACGTCCGCCTCCAGGGTGGGGCCGGCACGCTCGATTCCCCCCTCCCTGAACTGTTCTCTCCCGTTTCCGAAATTCTGGATCCCGAAGTCGGAGATCCGGGGCTCCAAGTCGTTGGCGAGAAGGACGTTTGAGGCGACAAGGTGGCCGTGGGCGGACCCCGTGTGGTGGAGGTAGGCAAGGCCATGGGCGACCCCAACCGCGACGCGGTGGCTCGCGAGCCAGTTCGCCTTCTCCAGGGACGATGGCTCGCCGGGCTGCTCCCACTTGTCGGTGCTCCACTTCTTCAGATAATGTGACGTCTCTTTTAGATATTATCTATGATTCCTTTATTCCAACCTTGTCAACTCCGTCTTAGATGAATATTTTCTAACCAATTCTTCATGTTCTCTGTTCAAGTACACAACTTCATTACTTATTGTCACCAAGTGAGAAATGAATATTTGCTCAGATATAAGATGATTACCATAACTAAGGAAGGGAAAAGAATTCACTCCATTGACTGTCACTTACGAAAATGCAGCGAATACGTCATGGAACTGAATAGACATTAGGACAAATGATGCTTAATTGCTTGTATATGGTGACAGAAAATAAAGCCGTGAAGAGTATGATGTGATAATTCATCTTGCGCTTCGTTTAAAATTTGCAAAATGTAATGGAATCGAATAGTCATCGACATGTACATAATGCCCATAGACAACGTATAAAGCAAACAAAAATCAGGTCTACGTGAGAAAATTCTTCACTTTATCTTCTGTAAAATTTGGGTACCACGGAAAAGAGGAAGCATTGTTTACCCGAGCTCATAAATTTGAAATCAAACAAATCAATCAATGGGCATGGGAAAGCGCCTACACAATCCCATGACCGAAAGGAATTCCTTAGATAGATATGATGATATGATCTGAAACGTGGAATGAAATTTCATTGACTAATCGTTGTATTAATCATTAGACAAGTCGGGATAATAGAACTTCACCTCCACTAGCATCAAGTAGCATCTTCAACATGGACCTTGGGCCCAAGGTGGTGCGGATAATATCAGCAACAGCCTGTCACATGTATTACCACAAGTTAAAAAGACTCAGCAGCAAGAGAACACAGACAAAAACATCGGTTTACCAAAAAAAGGCACTTGATAAAAAGATCCAGATCCGCCTAAATGTGGAACTAAAGCAACCACACTAACTTTATTCAATTTCTCCTACAATCTACCTTAAAATTCAGACCATGCACAATGATATATCAGACGTTCTTATGGATGATTCTAGAAAAGTTTGAAAAAGGAACAGCTTTGATTTTCTTCAGAGGTCCTCTGTTTTGCTATTATTTTAGTGGCTTCTAGCTTCTTTACTAGGAAAATTCCTGTCACTGAAAACAGTGATGTGCAAATTACACCGGTTCCTCAACATAAGCTTGGAATGACCCAATCATTTGGTCAAGTGATATCACAAAATTCAATTATTTTTGGCAGCAACGGGAACCCAGACAGAATTCAGATATTAAATGAAAAGCTTCTTGCCTTGGATGCTTGGGTATTAGCATGGTGTACCTTGCTTCCAGATTCACGTTTCAAGGAATCCTCTGTTCAATGCAAACATTAAGAATTTATTCGCAGGGGCATAAGACTGGCAACAATAACCTTACTCGAAACACATCATTGTCGTCCCAAAGGCAACTACGAATTTGCCCAAACATATCTAGAAGAGTAAAAAGACGTTCAAAATATCATTTTTCGCCTTCTTTTGCCTCTCCAAAAACCAATTAAGAAGCAATGACAATACTCATTTCCTTAGAAAGAAAAGGGGTGGGAGAAGGCGTTGCTACCATAAAAATGCAGCTCACTGTAATATACACTCCAAAATAAAATTGCTACAACAAACACTAACAGATCGGCCGGATCATACAGGAGGGAACTAAAAGAACAAAAGAGAGCCGGTGAAGAAATGATGGAGCTTACTCAGAACGAGCATCGGAGAGTGCAACATTTTGCTTTCGCTTCGAGGAACAACCCAAAAACCAGGACAAAAAGAAAAACGTAACTTGTTAACATTCCGAGACGAGAGATCCGAGCAAGCAAGGGATAGCAAAAGCAACACGCGAAGCCCCCGGAAATCTCAGTTAAAACCTAAATTTCAGTTCCCGTTCGAAACATCTCATCGATCGCGCGAACGAATTCGTTTCCAGTTCACGGAATCAAAGCAACCGGATAGTGACGCAGGATTCAAAATCGCAGGCACTAATTGCTCGAGCGGGCGGGAAGCCTGAAACATCGACGTCAGCGATAGAGTGAGAGAGATACTGATCGCAGTGAGAGAGAGAGAGAGAGATCTGGTTGGAACGGCGACAAGCGCGCGCAGATCACAAGTCGTGCTATTAGAATATTTAAATAATAAACTATATCTTCATCTAACAGTTTAAACTTTTAGAACAGTTGGCAGTGATTTGGAATATTTAAATAATAAGTCATGCCTTCATCTAATAGCTTATGTTTTTAGAATAGTTGATAGTAGTCCCACTATAAATCCTTCACACACTATGGTAAAAGACTGCCAAAGGGTGATTGCCAAACGGTGCTAAAATGTGCTTGACGGAAGGAGAGCAATCGACCGGCGGCGGCAAGCACCGACGAGGTGGCCGACGGCAAAGAGTGGCAGGAGGGAGAGAGAGAACGAGGAGTGAAGAGGTGGTGAAGTGGAAGTGAAGGGGAAAACTGAAGGCAAAAATGAGATGGCGATTAGGGTTTAGTCTCTCTATCTCTAGGCGGTTCGGCAGTTCGAGAACTCTTGGGCGGGAATTTCCCACCAGACCCCTCTGCTCCTCTTATCCACGTATTGTTTGCGCCAATTGGGTTTTTTATTTTTTTATGAAGGTGATTGTTATTTTTTTACATGATTTGATTTCAGGTATTAAGGTAATGTTTGTGGATGTTCAACACTATGAATAAAAGATTTTATATATAATATCAACCATGTGACTTACACACACCAAACTCGGTTCTCAAGTCGAATCGGGAATGGGCCGGTTCGGATTTAGGCCAGTTCCAGGAATAATCAATTCCATTCGCGATTTCAATTTTTCGAAACCAAGACCTATAAGGTACATTCTAGGTTAACTGATCCATTATAAAACTGATCAACTCTATATTTAAGTGCCTTGAATAAGCCTTGTTAGAATTTAAAGCCGCACGGTTGGGAAAAAAATAGTTATTGTGATTATTATATTAAAAGTTTACAAAAATAAAATGCACATGATATCCAAATGACTTTAAAAGTTCGGTTCAGTTTGTCAACCAGACATATGCTAATCTGGCAAGACTTGACTTAATAGTGATTAAGCCCCAAAAACACACAAAAATATCTTGGAGCCAATCAAGACAGGGCCCACATGCTCGAATAGTATGACCTTAGCTATCCACGGCTTAAGCATAAGTATAGCTTCCAAATTTCAGTGATCTCTATCTTGCGTTGCGTTGTTGATGACTATGGAGAAGGCACAACAACAAAGGAAGGAAAACATAGAAATTGATTGCCGACTCAGTGTCGCAGACCGTTGGCATCACCAAACAAATACGGCACGCCATTGTGAGCTCCACAATGATAATCAAGCTCTCCTTAGTGTAATTTCCCCAATTTCTGGACTATTAACTTCAATCGACACATTTCTCTATTTGTCACATTACTTTTCTTGTCTTGAAAATTAAGATTGATTGAGTGCTCGCTTATAGAAACTGTAATGCTTCCATCGCTCGAGTACAACGACTTATCGATGTTTTTCTTTCTGGGAATGTAGCATGAAAATAGGGCTTAATCGCATTTGCTTGCAAGTTTGATTTGTACATCTGTCTTGATTCCAAATTCCTTCTGATGCTTTTTTGTGCTTTCTTTCTGAAAAAGTTTACTGTCAAAGCAAGTTGCATTTCAGCAAAAAATTACTCTCAAATTTTATAAAATACATATTAAAAACTTCTCCACAAGTCCAACCGGCAGCTATGGACTTGCGAAAGAAATTTATGGTCAACAAATCTCTCATTCTCAAAAACATTTTCATTTTTTTAATTGAAACCTGCAACATTTTGATGCTCCACTTTGGAATAGGAAGTTCATTTTTATACTCATCTTGTGAACTTTACTTTGGATGTATGATTGCCACGTGGTAAACAGGTGGCAGAGATTTACCCAATTGTATTCTATATAGTTGACCAATAACTTTTGGATTTTTGTTGGGTTCACTATTAATACTACTAAGAGATAAGTGTACCGTAAGTTCTGAAATTTCTTATTAAAGTGCAATTAAATCCTAAAACTTTCAAAAAGTGTAATCAACAAAAGGACTTGATTGAACCAATTTGATAAGTTTTAGGATGATTACACTTTTTAAAAATTATAAAAACTCAATTGCACTTTCCTAATAATTTTTTAGGACTTAATTGCACTTTTTGAAAGTTTTAGGACTCAATTGCATTTTCATGACAAGTTTTAAAACTTCCAATACATTTGTCCCTAATATTGATATAAAAAAAGTTTAACTTTCACCTTTAGATAGTAGACGCATGAATAATATTTCGTCAATAATCTAAGAGTGAATTTGTAAAAAGTCATATTTACAAAGGTTAATACCACAAAAAAATCTCAAATTGGTACATATTTGACAAATTTACTTCAAACTAATAATTTGAACATAAAAATCCTAAACTAGTACACATGTGACAGATTTACTCTACACTATTTTTTTGACCACCAAAAATTCTAAATTGATACATTTGTGACAAATTTATCATCCGTTAAATTAGATTAATATCACGAAAAATCACAAAACGGTACACCTGTGACAGACAGAGGGTAAAACCCTAAACTGGTATACCCGTCAACTGTCACTTGTCGTACAAATTAGAAATTTGACGATAAAATTTAACATAAACTAACAAAGGGTAAAATTATCACAAGTGTACTAGTTATGATTTTTCGTGGTCAAAAAATTAATTTAAGGTAAATTTGTCACAAGTATACCGGTTTGGGGTTTACGTGGTATTTAACCCCGTTTACAATGACAATAGACTTAATAATAGTCCATTTTAGCTTATTTATTTGTGATTCTTAAAATCTTAACCCCTTCTTACTTGGAAAAATGAAAAAAATAGAATGTATCTCCATATGCATTCGTTAACCATATAAGCTTATTTTAGAAAGATTTTACGAGAGTAAAACCATTCGAGTTATAATTTTGAAAATTTAACATGATACATCTTATTAATGTAAAAAGAAAATTCCAAACAAACTGAAAACATAGCTTTTATCAAATATATTTATATATTCAGTTCAAAGTACAGAGTATTTGCAAAGAGAATAAATTTCATTTAATAAAGAGATTTGGTTACACCTATCACAAATTTATCACAAAATAGACATTCAGTTAATATGGGAAAAATTATCCAAAAAGTCTTAAACTCATTATATGGTTGCCAATTTGATCATAAAGTTTTCAAATTGTACTAATTTAGTCTTAAACATTTTGACGATTTGCCAATTTAGTCATTTGGATCAATTTTAGCCGAAAATCGCTAATGTGTACACTAACCGATCTACATGGTATGGCCGGTGCTAACATGGATTTTTTTTTTTTATCTTTTTTTATCCCCGCCAGCTATTGCCCGAGGCCCAACAATCCCCGTTGGCCACAGGTAAGGGCCACAAGCCTCGCCCGTGGCCCTTGCCTAGATTTAGGGAAGGCCATGACCTCGCCTGAGGCTAGGGAGGGCCTTGTCCCCTCTCCCAAACCTCGCTCGCTCACGCAAGCGGTCATAGACCTCACTTGGATCTAGGCGAGGGGCCCTCGCCAGGCCTAGGCCAATGGTTGGCAAGGGGCGCCAACCCTTAAAAATAAAACAAAAAGAAAAGAAAGAAAAAATTAAAATAAAATTTCATAAAATATAAAAAAAAATCCAAAAATCATCCATATAAAAGTCAGCCTATGTCCATGTTGGCGATTTCCAATCAAAATTGACCGGAATGACTAAATTGGCAAATCGTCAAAAGGTTAAGACTAAATTATCCA